GTCTTGTATCATCGTTCAACTTTGTTATAGATATTTAATTCATTCCTCAATTTGAACAATTCACAGGTCAATCCGATAATTATCACAGTTACTCAACAGTTGTCAACATATAAAGCAACCCATAGTTTTATTCAATTTTTCATTTTGATGATTTGTTTTAGATATTTGCTCCCCGTACAGTCTTGTATCATCGTTCAACTTTGTTATAGATATTTAATTCATTCCTCAATTTGAACAATTCACAGGTCAATCCGATAATTATCACAGTTACTCAACAGTTGTCAACATATAAAGCAACCCATAGTTTTATTCAATTTTTCATTTTGATGATTTGTTTTAGGTATGTACAGTAAAAAAAAAATCAACCCCATACCTCTACTTCATAGAATGATGTGTCGATTAAGATAAGACTATAGAAGTCCCGTATAGGACATTTAAGACATCGAATCCCCAGTAAGCGGGGTTTATACTCACAATTTCTTCCTGCCAACAAGTTCCATAGCATCAATTCTTAAATTCAGAAACACAGTAGAAATCATTCCCTTAAGCACATAATTCATATATTCTCATAGCATAGGTCAATCTCTATCATAATAAAGATATTCTCAACTATGTTCATATCTAGACCAATCCAGTATTAATAGTTCGTATGCAATTCTTATTAGAAGGTGCACGTTCAAACTTTGCCTAGTTAAGTAGTTCCTTCGATAAATCACATATTGCGAGTTACTCAGAGATAAGTTGTCAACTAAGGTTATAGTTTTCAAAAGAAATCAATTACGTGGTTAGATTCAAATCCGATTATGCATAATTAAATCAGGCATCAGAGCCTACCAAGCAAGGTCTGTCTAATTAACAAGGTATACTTCATTCCAGCAGTCACAAATAAGTCGCTTAGGTACGTAGCCACTAGCTTCACAATTTATTCCTAGTATTCCTCTATTTCCGAAAGCATATCAAAGTCATACCATTATATTGGTTCAAAATCATATGTAATAGTTCTTGACAAGGTCAGAGTGATAGGAAGAAGAATCCCAGTAAACATCGTTAATTCCTCATAGCATTACTTCTAAGTACAGTAACACAAAGAGAACCATGCTCCGAATCAACAGTTACGATAATATCAAAGCAAATACCATACAATTTTGCAAATTCATACAGACATACCATTATAGACACTTAGTCATACCGTCATAAGTTCGAATTTGAGCAATAGATACAAATATAACAACCATCATTTCGAGCAAAGGGAGTCATTCAAAGATAAAGTCAGAAATCAAGTTCAAAATCGTATTTAGTTAATCAGTCATAACAGTAAGGTACCACATCCTCCTTTATTAAGCATTTCCTCTTGTTACGGTAAAAAGTACTTCGATTTCCTTTTTTTTTTTTATCATTTCAGTGTTCTATTGTTCAGATAATTCTTCTTTTTCTAACTGTAGGGCACAAGATCAATCACATTGTTCCGTATCCACAATTTAGAAGTACAGTGGGTCAACAAACAGCCATACGAAAATCATAGACCAGTCATGCGGCTTAGTCATTTAACATAAGCAGAGTATCCAGTTACTCCTCGTACGTAGGTTCTACTAGGTCCGTTCATAGGGTCATAAATCCCATTAAATATACAACAATCATAGTAGTCATATCCATCCAGATTCCATAATGTCAAAACAAAATATACAATGATATAGCAAAGGATAATTTGACCAACTAATATCAAACACTACTACAAAAATAGTTAAAGATCACACTTTGATAAAAAAAAATATCTCACTTTTATTGGAAATGTGATAAAAAAATTAGATTGATATTTTAATCACACTTAATTTGATTAAGTGTGATAATATTTATTTTTTATGTCACTTTCCAATTAAGTGTGATTATATATACACTAGTACTTTTTAATCACACTTTTTAAATAAGTGTGATTATATATATATATTTTTAATCACACATTCTAATTAAAGTGTGATTATTTATATATTTTTTAATCACACCTTCTAATTAAAGTGTGATTATATATACATTACTACTTTTTAATCACACTTTTTAAATAAGTGTGATTGTATCAAATATTCCAATTTGATTTTTAGATAAAATATACAATTCCTAAATTTTTTTTAAAAAAAAAGCCCCTTAAAAAAAAAAAAAAAAGTCCCAACACCAAAACACAAATTAAAAAAAAAAGCCGTATATAAAAAAACTTTCTATAACGTACATATAACATGCCGTTAATATATTAACTATACACAATACACATACCCCAACTATTAAAAATATTAAATATTTAACGATGCACAAAAAATCAACTGTTAAAAATTATATACTTTCCACTATACATAATAAATCAATCGTTTAAAGTATTACATTTTTCACAACACACAGTCATGAGAGGTGCTACTAAACAAAAAAAAGGCGCTAAATAAAAATTAATTAGCGCCAAAACTGAAAAATATGAAACTTTCAGCCAAAAAAATTAAAAATTAAAAATTAAGAAATTTTCATGTCTTTCGATAGACTCTCTCTCTCCATCTTCATCCCTCATCACCACCGACATCCTTTACTATCCTACCCTAAACCTTTCTCTCACTCACGCTCACTGATTGACCTTTCTCTCCCTCTTCTCCAACCCTCTTCACCGACCTCATAGCTAGCGCACACTAATAGCCGCTTCGGTTGCCCCTGGTGAGTGGAAAAAGAGGGAAGTGAGAGAGTGAAGATTGGAGGGCGGTGTGTTTAGGGTTACAAAGGAGGCCATGGTAGAAGAAGAACGATGATGGAAGTGGAGGAGAGACTCTCTTGTTTTCACAAACAGTCTCCTCTCTCTCTCTCTCTCTCTCTCCATCCTTCGCCAGGTATTTATTCCCTCCACTTTTCTTCATATTTATTTGCTTTAGATTGCTTGAGATTTGTTGAAATTTCCTTTTCTTTCTAAAAAAAAAAAAAAATCACTTGATTGCTTCTGTTAATTGCTTCAGATTTATTGATTTATAGCATAATTTATGTTGAAATTTCTGTTCAAAATTGGTGAAACAATTTCTGTTTTTTTAAAAAAATTATTTTAAACAATCTGTTTCTGTAAACAAATTTTTGCTTTATATTTGTATCCTTTTGTTTTTGTTTTCTTAATGGATTTAAAACTAATATGGGTGAGAGTATTTTGGTATTTTTGATGGTTTCTTATTAATTTTGATGGGTTTATGACTAATTTTGTTTGGTTTAATTGACATAAATCCTTTTAAACTCTTGATTTATTTTTAGTGGGTTTATGATTTTTTGTGGTAGTTTTGAATGCTGAGTTCAATCTTTTATATTGGCCATTTTGGTATTCTGTTTTCTAGATGTCAACTCTTTACAATCTAAGATATTCAGGAGCAAACAATGAAATATTTAGCAGGACTTTTGAGAGCTTTAAGTGGGTCACAGTCCCTTTTCCACCCCCGGTTCTGCCTTTGTACATGTTACTTCCAGAAAAGGAGAGTTGGAGAGACAGAGAGGCCTCCATATATGTCAAAATTAGTGAAAGATAAGATGTGTTTGCCTCAAGGCATCAGTAGAGGGGCTATTTATATATATTTTCACTTTTGGCTTTGGCTGATAAAATGGTGACACCTGTTTTATGTTTGTTAAAGCACTGTAATCTTTTTCCCATCTGGCATCCCCTTGGTGCCTTCCAGTCACTAGCATTACCCTCTTATTCCCCCTAGATGATTAGCTCCTTGAAGCCCCTAGATTGATCCCACAACATAACATGAAAACAGCTTCCTAGTGCTCACACCTACCTCTTTGATGGACCGTATTAATAAAATTGTCAATTTGTCTAAGGTTCCATTTCATCTTTTGGACGAATTTGCATCACTAGTCTAGGTGATCATCTGTTGGCTGTGCTAGAACCTGTTATAAGTAGTTGCCTTGTTAAGGTAATGTCTGTGGGTCTTAGTATTAAATTATTTCTTAAATGAATGCACTTTGTTTTGATCATATTAGATGATATGATACCTGGTTATAAGCAACCATTTATTTTGGAATTCTGGTGCTGTAATAAACTTTAGTTTAGTGTTTGTGTGTTTGGGCATCCCTGCTGGTTCTTCTACATGTTCGAATGCAAACATTTGAGGGACCCTCTTTTGAATTGTCTAGGCATGGTGCACTTCATCTTAGTGCAGTCCGGATCTTTGGATCCCTTTTGGTGTATATTTTCTTTGGATGGGTGCTATATTTGTGTTTTGTAGTTATTGCACCTTCTCTGGTTTTAGTCTCAAAATTGGCAAAAAAATTTAGGGTTCTGCTAGAAGTCATCTATAGCTTACACAACAAACATGGATAAATATAGTCATTTGGCAATTCAGATACATATCACACAGAAAATTATGTTTGCTGTGTCATATACACTCATCTAAATTTTAAAGTAATTATTTTTTAAAATTTTAAAAGAATTAAGTAATTATTTTTAAAAGTTTTAAAAGAATTACAATTGAGACAAAGCCCGATATGACTTCTAATTTTAACATTTTTTCTTATTTGATAGATAAAGACATTATCAACCATGTCAACTCCACCAGCCTTGGTCGCCCATAATAACAATTGATTTTTGTTCGGAAGTATATACATGAAGACTTGGTTTTTGTTCAAAAATTGATAGAAATTGATATCCGAATGAAAAGCACCAAAATTTTATAGAAACCATTGGATTCTCAATTTCTTTTCTTTTTGAAATTGCGAAAGAATCTTCTATATTCATTCTCAATAGCCCGACACCCTTAGGTATGACTCTTTTCTTCAATAGACGACTACATGGATTTGTAATTAGAAAAAAAAAGAAAAAAAAAAAAAAACTACCTTTTGTTTGGTCCTCTACTATATTAGTTTATATTGAATATTTTTGTCTAATATACATTAATGCATTACAAATTATGGTTTAAAAAATGTAACTATAGTCGACTTTGTCTAAATTTTTGTACATAATATTTGTAACCCTCTCCGTCCCTGCTCATAGGGGTTGTCGTTTGAACTTTGAACTTAAGAGTTACAATGGCTGCTGCTGCAACATTTGGTGCCACAAACACTACCACCGCTACTGCCGCCAACAAAGAGTACGATTATTATCGTTCCTTCAATCATGAGAAGAGCTCATGCTCATTGCTCACACCACCTAGACATCATCACAACTCTCCTCTTCGTAGTCGTTTATTTCCTCATCGTAAATTAACACCTATGACAACTTCTTCATTGGCCATCCCAGGTGAATAGTTTTAATTTTAGGTTTATTTTTCTTTTTAAATTTAATATGAAAACTATTTGTGTGTTAATCTTGTCTATCTATTTTTTGTTTAGGCTTTTGGCCTAATGTTGGAGTGGGTGTGAGCAGTGAAGATGATCTTTCTCGGACCCGATCTTTGTCGTTCGCATGCACAACAGCTGTTCGACATTTGACGGGATCTCTTACTGCAACTGAGGGCCTTCGCTTTGCTGTGGTCAGTCTATTTATTTTTTATGTCCACCCCTCTCTTGTTATTTAGCATTTGTTTGAATGAGCACATGGGATTTATTCAATTTCCTCAATGAATGCTTCACTTTGTGCTTATATGCATATATTTTATGCATAATGTACTATGAAATTCTATTTCTAGCTGTGCATTCATGTTTTTCAGTTTCTGGCCATGTAACAATGTGTTCTACTTTGTCTCTTAATATTAATGCTCTCATTTTGTTGCAATTAGTGGTTATGCCTTAACAAAATTTTACAACCTCTTCATTCACAACACCTCTCTCTCCCCTACGAATGACTCTTTTAAAAAATGACTCTTTTAAAATTATGTAGTTTTTATTTATTTACTTTTTGCTCCAAAAAAAAAAAAGAAGAAAAAAACAAGAGGTAAATTGCAACTTGATTTGATGATTAAGTAATCTAGGTAATGTTGGTTCAATTAAGTATTTGCAGTAGTTCAATTTATTTTCTATTTTGATGTGTATCCCTTTGATGTTTCTAATAATTTGTTTCCGTTGCAAAGGTTGTGGCACGGTTTAATGAGATTGTGACGAAGCTGCTTTTGGAGGGAGCTTTGGACACGTTCAAGAGATATTCAGTTGAAGAAGACATTGATGTATGTAGTTATCTGGAACCCTTTCAAAAGTTGGCTACTTTTTTTTCCCTCTTATTGTGTTCCTTTGTTGGTAGATTTGTTCACCTAGATTTCCATCTCTACTGGAATAGGTAACAGATGCCTAACCTGCATATCTTGAATGTGTGAAAGGGTATAATATCACTGGATTTCTGATCCATGACTTGATTTTCTATATTATAAGTGAAAATGTTGTCTCATTTGGAGTGCCTGATTGATGGGGTGATTTTGATGCGTGACTAGCTCCATATTTGTCATACATGACTATTTTTCCTCTATGTGCTGAATTTCCTGTCCTGGGGCTTGTCAGATCTGCCTGTGCATCTGATGGCAAAGAATCACCACCTTTTGGATAGGTTATAACCAAAAGTACTTTGATTAGTCAGGGATTCACCTTAATGAATTGCTAAATTGAATGTCATGCGGAAAAAGTGAACATTTGCTGTGGTAAAACAAACCTGGTCTGACATGATTTAGAATATTTTCAGATCACTATCATGTTAAAACATGAGTTGCCTATTATTTATTGAGGTGGAATTGTTGGCGCTGATGTGGATAAATGTAGCACAAATCATGTAATGCTTTCATCATTCCAATTGTTTTACATGGTCTGTGGTCATTGTTTTGCTTGAACACTCATTAATAATAGGTTCAATTATTGTATGTATGTATCAGGTAGTGTGGGTTCCTGGTAGTTTTGAAATTGGTGTCGTTGCAGAAAAGCTTGGAAAGTCTCACAAATATCAAGCCATATTGTGCATTGAAACTGTGGTCCCAAGTTTTTCTTTTTAAGGTTGCCATGGGAGGGTTTTTTGGTACACGGCTTCATGTCAACACTCGTGTCTGGAGTTTAAAAAGTCTCTCTTGAGTTCTCTCCCTAGAAGCTCACCCTGTCCTAGAAAAATAGTTTGGATTCTGGTTACTAGATTTATTTCTTTTGTAACAAATATAAGAAATTTAATAACGTCCAATTCTTAAATAATATTGATCCAAGCTCTGTTCAGATTGATTGAGCCTGTAGATGGCAGCATTATTATAGACAATATTGATATTTCAACAATTGGTCTTCATGACCCCCGTAGCCATCTAAGTATTATACCCCAAGATCCAAACTTATTTGAAGGGACCATTAGGGGCAACCTTGATCCCCTCCACGAGCATTCAGATCAAGAAATTTGGCAGGTCAAACTCAACTGCTTACCTTTTTTGTCTTCATTTTTCTAAGTTTTGAAAAAGAAAATTTTAAACTATAACAGTTCGACCAAGTGAAGTCCATAAAATAAACTGTTAGAAGAAATATCCCAGATATTATGGATAGCCACAACTATTTTAAATTGTTCTGAAATCACAAGTGATCCCATTTTTTGTAATATGAATTCCTTAGTTCCTTCTATAAATTCTTGCCAAAAATTTGTTGTTAAAGTTTGGCTTTCCAGTGTTTATTCCCAAACTTTTTTGCGAGTTTAATGTATGGGCATGTTATGATTACCAGAAAGACTCACCTTCTTAGTGATTCTATTTTGATTTGGAACAGGCACTTGAGAAGTCTCAGCTAGGGGATTTTGTTTGCCGGAAAGAGAAAAAGCTAGATACACCAGGTATTTGCACTAAATATTTGAGCATTAAATTTAAGCTCTATTATTAATATTACATCTAGAAGCTTTCCTTTTGGCATTTGTCTAAGACCAGTTGATAAATTGCATATGAAACGTGAGTGTCATTTCATGCATATGTTTTATATTGCAAATATTTGATCGTGAATTGCCATTGTAATTATAACATATACATTTTAATCATGATAGAATTTAAACATATTAAGTTGCATTTTTCAATTGTTGGACTTGTATTATTGAAGTGATTGAGCAGTTGCTCTTTGAAATTCTAGATGTACTCTTCATTATGTTGGGACCTAGTAGCATTAGCAATGATTAATTCCTAAAAATGAATTGGTTATATATATTTTTCTTTCTGACTCTTTCCTTGAGCTATGTTATACGATTCTTTAGATTTATTCCATTTTCATAATATATTTTTTGATTTTAGCAGTTTTTGAATTAATTTGTGTTTTTATTTTTCAGGTTAGAAATTTCTTAGAGAGATGCAAAATATGGTTAAAGAATTCAAGAATTTAGTTTTTTTTTTTCATTTTTTAATATATGTAATTACAGTTAAAAACTTTTTATTAATTTCTTTGTATATACTTTTGAGCATTTAACTTTTATGTATGAAATATATGACGTTATTTTATTCAATATATAGCTGTGATTTAAAATATAGTATATATATTGTATATTACATTCTTCAAATGCGCGTACAAAAATAATATTGATTATTCTTTAAATAAGTCGAATTTTTTTTTTATCACAGGTTTTATTAGTTATTTATCACACTTAAAAGATGTGATCTAAATGTTATTAATCACACTTAAAAGATGTGATCTAAATGTTTTTAATCACACTTAAAAGTTGTGGTTTAAATGTTTTTAATCACACTTAAAAGATGTGATCTAAATATAATTAATCACACTTAAAAGATGTGGTCTAAATGTTTTTAATCACACTTAAAAGATGTGATCTAAATGTTTTTAATCACACTTAAAAGATGTGATCTAAATATTATTAATCACACTTAAAAGATGTGATGAATTATTTTTTAATGACACTTTAAAAGTGTGATTAAAAATGACTCTTTTTAATCACACTCTCAAAGATCACACTTCAATAAAATTTAAAAAGTGTGATTAAAAAACATACATCACACAAAAAAAGTGTGATCTTTATCTATTTTTGTAGTAGTGAAAGTTAGTAATTCTTGGCAAAGTTAGTTCAATATGATAGTACATTAATTCGTAACCACGTAGTGAGTATTGTATAAATTTGTAGAAGTCTGCAATAAGAGGTAAATGCCTAGTACATATCGTTAACCCATCATCAATATAGAATATTCCCATGTCCATTTGTTTCTACCAAAGTTCACAATGCCATACAAAACAGTTCACATTATAGCCTCGAATTAGGCAATAGGGATCAATTTGACAATTTGCAATATCTAACATTTGCATATTTACACAGAAATATATCACAAAAATGATTTTTCAATCTTAAGTCATTACTATACAAAGGCGAGATTTTAATTCTTGCGGTAAATTATCAGATTACCAATCGTTTAGTTTCGATTCCAAATTAGTCAATAATTACCTATCTTTTTACGAGTATCATATGAGCAGACACGTAATATGGGTGGGGTCCTTCACATCGTTCAACCATTCCTTATAAGAAATCCTGATTACATATTACAGATTACACATAAACAAAACAGATTACAGATTACAGAGTACAAATTACAGATTCCTTAACAATGAGCAGACACAATTATGATTACAGATTCCCATAAACAAGTCCCGATTACACATAAACAATACTCATTAGACACCATCATTAATTCCCTCGGTTCACCATCAGAAGTCGCCAGTAATTCTCTCGGTTCAGGAAATCATATTAGTTATATCGTTTCAAGGTCAATAATCAACTCCCAAGCATAGCTAATGTGTAAGTCATTCCCTTATCCATTTAAACAATCAGTAGGAAACACAATCAGTAGGAAACAAAATCACCATCAATTAACCCCTTACACAATTCTAAGAGGGGTCTCTATATGCATAACTTCTTATCACAGTCGGTCATACTCAATACAATTCAAACTGTCATGCAAAACACATCTTATCAAAATATCTAAGCACAATAACTTCTCAAAATCACAGGTCTAAGCATTGCTATAGCAAGGGGGACGTGGCTATATTATAATAGTTAAAACATCACATATATAATTTTATTTAGTCACTAGATCTTAGGAATATTCAACATTTAGAGTATAATCAATCCATCTAAATAGATGCTAGGGAGCACATTATGTTGTCATCGTTTCCCACAGGTAACTATCAATCCAAATATAACAACCGATAACACACATTCCACCTAACCATTTGCATATAAATTGTCTTACCGTTCTGTTCAAACTCTCTCACTACACTTCCGCAGTGCAACTTTGTTGATTTAATCCCATCTGCATGTCTTGCATTGTCCACTAATCTATTTAAGATAAACAGAGGCAATATCTCTCATAATTATTTATTATTTTATTTTTCCGCAATTCATTCCAAATACGTTGTACAATTTTCCTTTTCATTCTGGCTAACTGTGCGGAGGTAGAATCCTCTGAATCTTCCATCTTTATGCTCACCATGTTCTGCATAACAATCAATCACAATATACACAAGGATATGCAATAGATATGGATAGTAACCATTGCGGTTAGCGGGTATTACATGTACAAATATCGTTGCTATCAATCTTTTTCATATGCATTAAGGATGTCATGCATGATGCCTAAGTCTTTTCTAGACATCCTAAGGCTCAATGGATTCGTGTGTGAGATAGCAACTCGTGCTCTGATACCACTTGTCACACCCCAAACTCGTCCCTAAAAGTTTGGGCATGACTAATTCGGAAACGGACATAAAATTCGATATGCATAACATATGGGGCCTGAACGGAAACAATTAACAACATAAAATAATATCCATTGAGCTAACTCTTATATGCCAAGATCGCAAATGTACCACCAAACAGTTCCAACATATGATAAACAGACACACAAGAAATAGATATTCACATGTACATATATAAATATATATACAGATCTAGCCCTGCATGTGGGGTGTAGCAAAATATTGGTAGGGAAAGTTATACATGCTTAATCACATTAGACAAAAGATTAAGGACCAAGCTAGGGGTCATTAAGGGAGCCCCACAAAATGCATAAGCTTCTTCACGTTGCTTGACCAAAAACAAGTGACCAAAGTTGAACTAAGACTGACCTCCAAGTTGATTGCCTACAGAGACAAACATAACACAAGGTGAGCATGGCTCAGTGAATAATAGTACACAAACAATTTAATGAATAAACTTGAATTATTATGTATACCAGTGCAGAGATCATATGATTAAGTTTATTCTGTAAACATTTTCAGAACGACCTTGGACCTAATCTTTATACAGAGCGGCTTCAAGCCCAGTATCATACAGAACGGCCTTAGGCCCAACAGATTTTGCAGATCGGCCTCAGGCCCAACAGATTTTTACAAACCGGCCTCAGGCCTAACAGATTCTACAGATCAACCTCAGGCCTAGATATCAACAGAGCAGACTAATATCAGAGTAATACGAATGTACACAGATTTTTCAATTGTTCATATAAGTTAACATAGTTAACTTGCGAATAACAGAACGTTAATAATAATTATTAACGATAAGTAAAACGTACTACTACCGTACTAATATTCACAGTGCTATGGCGGAGCGATAGTTCCTCTCGAAATGTGACCTACACACATATGCAACTCACAAATTAGTCCCGTTTCCTTTTAAATCATTTTCTGATTCGTTTTGCTTCCAATGAATTTACAACACATTAAAGGCATCAAATATAGATTTTAGTAATACCAGAGGGTCAAATAAGTAAAACGGAGCAGACGAAGTTTTCGCGCATGGGCCGCACGTGCGGCAGTCCCCTCCGCACGTGCGGTAATCCCCCCACACGTGCGGTAATTTCAGAATGCAACCTTCAATTTTTTCCTGTTTTCCGTACGTGCGGCCGTGAGCCCCGCACTTGCGGCCATGACCCCCGTACGTGTGGCCGTAGCCCCTGTTTTGGGTAGTCTGAATTTAAGCACAAATTCATCAAATTCTCAACATCACAAAGGAAAGAAATGGGATAAACAACACAATATAATGGCATAACAATACCATAAACATGAATCATAAGTTCAATCAAGTTCATTATCTTCAATTTCATATACACAACTCAATTTCTTCAAGTTCACATATAGATATATATATATATATATACTATCCAAGTATATGGATGAACTCACATGCAAAATCAAGGAAATAAGATGTGATTTCCTTACACATGGTCTAACTAAACTTAGAATAGCCAAATGATAGAGTGTGTCAAATAATATGTATATTAACTAATATATTTTAGACATCATCAAAATTAAATAATATGATTAACACAAGTATATGGATGAACTCACATGCAAAATCAAGGAAATAAGATGTGATTTCCTTACACATGGTCTAACTAAACTTAGAATAGCCAAATGATAGAGATATCGTCCTAATTAGTCCATTACCATTCACTTGATCTCACTTACAAACCCTAGGTTACATGAGTGTAAGGAACTTCTTACCAAATTCAAGAGAAAGATTATACAAAGTGAATTGAACCTACCTTGAGTTCAAACCCTTACAACTCAACTTAATCTCTCAATCTCTTCCTTTGTTGAAACTTCTCTTCTTCCTCTCAAACTCTCTTATTCTCTCTCTCTCTCTCAGGAGATATTTTTGAGTTAAGAATTCCCCAAATCAAATGTGTAAAGATATGTATATATATATACATCTAAATGTTAAAAAAAACAAAATTTAATCAATTTAATCATTCCGAATCAGATTTTTACAGAAAATCATATTATGATCTAAAAATTATGTTGAACTCAATTATAAAGTCAATTTCGGATTACTAAGCTTCTAAGGATTCCAATTTCTATTCCAAACATCATTATTTTAACAGATATTTCTCTTATTAGACAGATATGAACCTATAATCATAAGATTCACTCAATTAAACTTAATTTCACATGGAATTTCACAGCAAGCATATAAATGCACAGAGTAAGGGACTGAAAGCATACCAGAAAACATATACGATGGTCGGGTTATTACAAAAAAGGTTTATGAATGATGTCCAAACGGTTTCAAAAATTAGAGTTCATATCAAAAACATATTCAGATTCATATACTTAACTAGAAGTCATAAGCAGTTATATGTGGTACATCCATTAGCTATCATATCAACTTGGTCCTAAGACC